GTTCGGAAGAAGTCCATTTGGCCCTGCAGCCGTAAACAAAACTTATATTGGAATTACAGTTGTAACTTAATCCGAAATTTATGTGTAACCTGACTGAAAAGAATAACTACAGACAGGCACTAAAAACTTTATATACCAGCCCATGTAATGTAGGTTGAGTCCCATAATAGCTATCATGTGTAGGTGCAATAGAGTTCAACTGTCCCTACACAGAAACAAAACCATAATCACTGTTCCAATGCTTTTCATACGAGAGATCAGACTAGACCATGATTTAGCAAATGACATACTAGCCCTTGCATGGGAGCCTGGTTTCCATAGTAGTTGTCACGAGTTGGTGCCATCAAGTTCAACTGTACCTAGAAAAAGATCAATTGCGACTTTGGTTCAAGATTATGTATAAGTGTGACCAAATTATAGCAGATCATACCATGCCTTGTACACCATGTTGTGGGCCAAAATAACTCTCCAGAGTTACTGGTCTAGAGTTTAACTTGTCCTGCATAAGCAAAGTGAGTTTTATATACGTAAAAACAAAAAAAAACAAACAAAAAAAGTCATGCTTCAACAAAGTACAGCTTTTTTATTTTGGTAAGGTAAAACTCTTGTAGATCATCCATCCTACTTATATTTCTAAATTATTTGTTTGCTAAATAAAATACTACGTACTTCTTCCGAAAACTTTCTTAACGAGACTCTTTCTTGGATACAAAAATACATTCCAAAACAAGGTTTTTTATTAGACGGAGTGAGTTATAGTTTTACGAAAACGGGTTAAAGATTCAAATATTAACAAGAATCAAATAAAAAACATACCATCTGTTGCAAACTGTCTGGTGCTCCAACAGTCATAACATCTGGTTCAGAGTTGGCCTGTGAATAGAAGAGGACTTTAATACAGATGACACCTTAGAAGACATAATAAGTCACTGAACCCGTATAGAACATTCAAACCATACCTTTCTTTTCTTAGTGGGATTATTTTTCTTCTTATTCATCTTACTCATGCTTCTACTTTGGTTATCTTCTTCTATGCATAGAAAACCTCCCGGAGTAGATGAAGTGCCAGTATCAACAAGATTCTTATTTGAGCTATTAACATTCGAACAATTCCCTAAAGTTTCTTCAAGTGCACGAAGAGCAAATGTGAAACTTTCTTGAGATGAAGATCCTTCTTCAGCCAATCTCAATGCTTGCTGCGATAGAAAATTGTATCTTTGAACCCTAGACTGCACACCTTCAGCTCCATCTATCATAGGGTATCGTGACTTGGCATCTTTTCTCCACCGTTTCAAGATATACTGTTGAGGGACGCTAGCAATGCCACCGAGTTGAAGAACAACCAGGCAATGTCTGCAAAGGAAACCTTTGTACTCAAACAAACGGCACATACAAGACACTTCTGACTTCATCTCATTCAAGATCACCATGAATTCTTGCTTCTTTTCAGAATCTTGGATTTTAAAAGTCACAATCTTCTCGTATCGCTTCTGTTCCTTCAGAATACAGGCAACGGACCCCACAACCTCAATTTGAAACTTCTTAAACACAGAATTTGTGTACACCCCTGCCACGTTCTTCTCAAATGGTGATGGAGACTTCAAAGTGGGCTGTTTGTTCCACGTATCAGAATCTGCCTTTGCTTCCTCTTCATACCTATCTTGTAAGATGGCATCATACTGTTTCACAAACTCCTGGATTGATGTCTTCTTATGCACATATTTATCAAAGAAAGAGTTCACACTCTCTGATCGTGTACTTGTAGACATGCCGGCTAAAATTGTATTCCTTGTGAATGTGGGCACCCATTTCATCCGGTCTTCATACAGTGACTGTATCAATTCATTTTCTTCAAGTTCAAAATTTTGAACAAGGTTTTCCCAGCTCTTTTGAAATTCATCATCTGTCCATGACCTGTAAATGCAATCTTCAAACTCTGTCATGAACTCCTCGTTGTTCTTAATGACATGACTTAGATTTTCTGCCACCTTCCCAATCACTTGCCACTGACAAAAGAAATGGAGGGTTGATGGAAAGATTTCTGAAATAACTGTCTTCATGACCTTTTCTTGATCACTGATTATGATTTTGGGAGCTTGAGTACCCATCGCCCTCAACCATGTCTGCATCACCCAATAAATTGTGGCTGAGCTTTCATCAGAAAGCAAAGCACATCCAAGTAACATGAACTGATAGTGCTGGTTCACCCCGAGAAAGAGTACTAGCGGCATTTTGTACTTGTTTCTAAGATAGGTAGTGTCAAAAGACACAACATCACTGAAATTCACATAATCCTGTCTGCTTTTTGCATCAGCCCAGAAAAAATTCCTCAAACGTAGATCTTCACTTACATCTACAGCATAAAAGAAGTTTGAATTCATACTCTGCATATGAATAAAAAATTCAAGCAAAGTATTAGCATCGCCTGCTTCCATAGCCAAATTCCGAACTTTATCAGACTGACTTCTGGAATCGTGTTTCAGACCGACAACATTTTTGTATTCGGCAAATTGCCTAGCCATTGCAGCATACATCCTCCTAGTCTGCTCACTGACGGCTTGGGCAGGTAAGAGTTCATGGTTATGATCTTTTTCAAACCTGTGAATAATCCATTTCCCATCAGGTCTTCGCTTAACGTGCATGCTGGCTTTGCAGTCTGTCTTTGCACATGCCCGCCGGCCGGTTGCATTTTCTTGGTCCTGCTTGCCTCCCTGTCTACTGCGTGGGCGGTTCACAGGCTTCTCGTATTCACGTTTAGTACCATATCTAGAGCATGCAAATTTAGCATCAATAAATTCTCTTGATGTCTTTGAACGGCGACTATTTTGTATTGCAGTGTTAAACCCCATTGACCTGGCATATTCTTGATAGTAAGCATATGCCTCCCCATGTGATTCAAATTCCATACCAGCAAGTGGCTCAAGATTCACGTCCTCTTTAAACTCTGTCATATTGGCTAAGGAAGAGTTCATACCTCCTCCATCTTCAATATGTATCTTTTCCTCAATGTTCATATCCCCACCCACTCCAACAACACTGAGTCTTTCTTCATGATCACGCAAGTTAACAATACCATTTGTTTCTTCATCTCTATCATGATCTCCGGACTGTAATCTAAGATCTATGTCCATATTGACAACCCTCTACTGGCTGGCTTTTAGGTGTATAATAATATTACAATGCCTACAATGAAAACAAGCACAAACAATAAGTGTTATCAGAGCAACTACAATGACCCCGAATTAAAAGGCACATATGGTACTAAATCTGAGAAGTATTACAGCTTAGTATCGTCTCATGATATTTCCCATGCAAGTGGAAGTAACCTGTGATGAAGACGGCTTTAGATTCGCCACATCATCATTCCTTCTTATGAAGGTTGTGATGGGAAGAGCATCCGGCATAAAACATCACTATGTGTTTTTGCATTTGTTTATAGTGTTACTTAATTTCATACTACAATTTATTGATACTACATTTATTACACCTCTCCCCAACGAGTGGGATTAAATTGCTGGTAAATGATGATGATAATGGAACTAAATCTGAAGTTTCTGAATTTTCTTCAACAAAAATCAAATTGTTGCCAACAAGGTATAGTCACATTGATTAGGGTTGAAGAGTGGAACCAAGAAGTCTCATGTCTTAAAACAGCAGCACTCCAGAGCGTCCCTGAAACTGACACTAATATCTGGATGAGAGCAGTCCCGTATTATGTAACCCTCTCCCCGATGCATTGCCACTCTATTTCGAAACGGGTAATGGCAGAGTGCAAAATTCTCATTGTGATAATCCGCCAGATGGTAGATTTTATTTATAACACTGCCATATTAAGTAGCATTGCTTGATTTATACTGACTTGAAGATACAGTTTGATGTTTCTAATCATGGAAAACATTGTCATCACTTTGCATAAGTGCATAAAGTTGATTTTATCTAATCATAAACACAAGAACACTCCAGACATGGAAGCTCAGATTGAGAAGCTGGATACAAAAGTACAAGCCCATCTCCCACACGATCCCTTCGAATTCGATGAAAGCAGAGTAACTTATCACATTCTCCAGCAATGAGCAAAGAACCAGACTGGGCTCTACAGAGCAATTTGAGAGAGAAGAAGGGGAAGCAATGGCGATACCTGCATATGAATGAGTGTATATATTCCGCTTGTTGTACAGTGATGAATCTTCTTCGCAATCTCACGCACCTCCACTCTCTCGCTCACTCGATCTGCAGAACTGGAATCCCCACGCGAGGGCCTGGAGCGAGTGGACTGGGATTCCCCTCTTCCGCTTGCTGCTAATTAGGGTTCGTTTGCCGTCGTTCTTCCTTCCTGACAGCTGCTGTTCCCCACTCGCTGCTGACCCCCGCCGCCGCGCGTGGCCGCCTCTCCCCTACGGTCAACGTTGAGCCCCAATCGCTTCCCTGTCGCGCGTTCGCCGAACTTATTTCCTGCCAATCTCACGGGTGTAGTCAGTCCCTGCTTGCGTCCACGCGAGGCACCTCAAAACAAACATTGCACGCTCCAAACACTTTCGGAATGGGAGCGAATTAGTTGAAAATAAATGACCAATTAAATACATTGGGAGTATTTTAAAAAGCTATATAAACTTTATCAATATAAAAACAACATTAAATACGGAGTATAAATTATTAAATCTCTAGTTTTCAAAAACATTATAAAAATTTGATGTCTAAAACTTTGGCATATGTTTTTTTTAATTTTTCATTATTATTACATTCAATTACCATTAATTGTGTATCTAACTCGTCTAAGTATATATTATACCAATATATTTCACCATTTTAATAATTTAATCTACATAATCATTTCATTAATTCAAAAAAGAGGTTACATAATTTTTATTGTTTTTTTTAATAAACCAGGCTAGCAAACTTGTTTCTAGGGTATTTAAGGTTCAGTTTTTTTCTATAACCTCATTTTTGGAGTCTAAGTTGTGAAATAATAACCCTAGAAGTGTAGGGAAGGAATGGATGAGAGAGAATGAGAAGGGAAGGATTCCCTTTGCCTTGTTCGATTCGGAGGAGGAGGAATTGTTTTATTTTTAATATACTATTAATATTTTTCATTTTTAAATTAATTTTGTTGTCAAATTATAAACATATTATTATCAATGTTTTTTGCTTTATTGTTTCATTTTATTTTTATAACTTTAATTTTTATTACTATTTTTATTATTTATCCTATATTTTAATTTTTTATTTTCTAATTTGATTTTTATTTTTAAATTTAATTATATATAGACACACACACACACACATATATATATATACACATGTGTGTGTGTGTGTATGAATGTATTTTATTTTATTTATTGTTTACTACTACGATTTTTCATTATGAATTGATTGATTTATTTTATTATTATAATTATGTATTATTATTATCAGCTTTTTCTTTTTATTTTATAATGTTTTTAGTTATGTTATTATTTTTTATGGGTTTTATTTTATTATATTAATATTTTTAGTTTTAGTTTTAGTTTTAATTTTTTGTATTTACTTATTTATTATTATTATCATTTATTTTTTAAAATTTTTAATTAATTATTATATTTTTTGTTATTTTATAATGATTTATTTATTTTCTAATTATTTTCTGGAGTATTTATTTGTTTTGGTGTTATTTATTAAAATATTACTACTATGTATTTATTTTAACTTTATTTTTTTGTTTTATTTTATTTTATATCATTTTGTTACTGATAAGACAAAAAAACTGACAGAAGAAGAAGAGAAGGACAAGAGGAAAACAGATTCCATCCAATTCGGAATGATTGATTTGGAGGGGTGGGAAGAGAATTGAAGCTAAAATTTTGGATTTCTTTTCTTCCATGCTTTTAAATCAAACAAGAAAACGAGTTCTGGGTTCTGATTCCCTCCCCTACCATCCCCTTCCCGGAAACCAAACAAACCCTTAATTTTTTATTCTATTATATGGAGCACTAATTATAAAGCACGTACAAAGCCCATGAGAGTGTGTTTTCCCATTGACTTTTTGCAGTTAGTTTTAATAAATTTTGATCATGAATTAAATAAATATTATATTGGATATTAATAATATAAAATACTTTTTTAAAAACATTTTACAATATGAATCTAATTAAATCTTTTTGTACTAATATGTAATACAATTTCAATTTTATTTAAGTGATGGTCAAAGTTGTTAGATTTGATTATAAAAAGTGAAGTGTACAACATACTGAGACAATGATAATATATATGCGTGATCACAAGTAAATGAGCCAATTTCTTTATAAAAATAACAATTTTAGAGAAATTAGAGATTTTTTAGTTAAAAATCATATCTATAAACTATGTTTGACAAAGTATTTGGAGAAAACAGAAATAAAATTCTATCACAGTAAAAACCGTTTGATGAGCTATTAAGAAACAAATGTTAGTGTTGGATAGAGTTTTTTATATACTCCCTCCGTCCTATAATGAGGTTCCCACATTGACTTTTCTTCATTTTTAAGGGAGGGAACTTTTACACCTTGACTTCCAATTATACCCTCCCCTTAAAAAATCATTGGAGCATTTGTAAAAGAAAAGATCACAGCCACACATTGATTTGTTCGAATTATTCATTGTCAGATCTATTACAACTACGGCAAACTTTTGGCACTAGTCTCAAAATCAAAAATAAAAACATTTTACAAATAGGGGGGAATTTCTAAAAATTTCCCTCCAAATAGAAACATAAAGTCCACCAAGGCCATATCCTATAAATATCCAACCCTTCTAAAATTAGAAACTCCACCCCCAAAAAAAACTGCAGCTCCTGCCCACTATTCATCTCACATGCATGATACTCACACCGCTGCTCCGCCTCACACCGCTGCTCCGCCTCACACCGATGCTCTGCCTCACACCGCTGCTCCGCCTCACACCGATGCTCCGCCTCACACCGCTGCTCCTCCTCACAGTGTTGTTCCTCCTCTCCCAAGCAGAGATAAGAACCTGCAAATGGAAAATGAAATAAGGAGCAAAAGGCTCACTAATTCAGAAAGACAAAGAATTGTAGAAGCAATCTTACCGTACACAAAAACAAAATCAGGTCAGTACACAGCTCAGAAAGGAGCTATCAGTAAGGTTGCTGCTCAATTTAATGTTTCAAGAAGATCTGTAGGGGAGATATGGAGTAGAGCTAGAAAACAAATGCAGGGGGGTGTTGCCATTGATGTGAATAGTCAGGTTCGATTGAAGTGTGGAAGGAAAAGGAAGGTGATAGACATAGAGTCCATCCCGAACATTCCTCTAGCCAAAAGAACAAGCATTAGGGCCATGGCTGCTGCCTTAGGTATTTCAAAGTCTACATTGCATCTTTGTATTAAAAGAGGATTGGTCAGAAGTCATTCAAATGCAATTAAACCATACCTAACTGATGCAAACAAGTTGCAAAGATTGCAATTTTGTTTGAATCAGATAGAACCCATTAGCATCCCATCTAACCCGAGGTTTAGATCTTTCCATAATGTTCTTCACATGGATGAGAAATGGTTCTTCATGTCCAAGACATCACAGAAATACTACTTGACTCCGAATGAAATGGACCCTTACAGAACATGCAAGTCAAAGCGTTTCATTACTAAGGTCATGTTTTTATGTGTGGTTGGTAGACCCTTAATCTCAGAAAAAGGGGAAGTGTTGTGGG